TCACATTCACATCCAGACAGGAACTAATAATCGCTGGAAAATCGAAAGAACTTTTTCCAAAAACATAATATTTTTTTTTTCTCAACTGAAGTGGAACAAAAAAAGCAACGATCACTTTGCAAAACCTTCTTCGGCGTTTCTTCCATCAAGAAAAAAACGATCAAATGCAGAATTTGAAACCGCGGGAAAAACGATATTGATTACAATCTCTTGTGCTCTGATTTGTTACATAAGAAACAATGTCAGTGATCTCACTGGAATAGGAATAGATAGTTTATTCTGATTAAAATCGCAGCCAAAAGCTGAATTAGATTAATCGTTTTAAGAGGGTCGCTATATGGAACAAACGGAAAAATAATTCTCCGCATGGCGCGTTTCTGTAGCTGTTCTAACTCAACAGATAAGTATGCGGGAAGCGCGTTGTGAAACACCGGGCATGCGCATTCCATTTCTGGGCGGATACAGGTCATGTAAAAGATTAGCAGATCTTTGGCGGGAATATTCGCTCTCTTCAATTGTTTAAGAAAATATAATAGACTCGCTACTTTTTAACTTATTTCAGCAACATGACAGTTCCACCGAAGGTCGGAAGAAATGTTTAGCCCTAACAACTTAACAGTGGACACTACCTCTATTGCTTTCCTATTGAGAGCATTTGGAGCAAAGTCCGCGGCTGATTTAGCGACTGGTGATTGGTGCAAAGACAACAAAGGGAAAGGAATGTTGTTCGAATGTGAGCAGCCGTTTGTGGGGAGGAGCGTTGCGTGACGAGATTAAAAACGGCTGCGAGGGAGACTACCTTGTCCGTGGCCCTTTAAACGCTTACCAGTGAAAACCAGTAAACATATAGAGATGGACCACTTTCTTTCAATCCCAGCGCCTTTTATGTCATTAACATTTAAATATAACATTCAATTTCTACCAACAGTTGAGGGCGGCTATCGCCCCTTGCATCGAAAGCGTTTTCCTGCTGGACAGACTACGCTATTTATACGAACAGGTATCCTATCTTTGCCACCGTCTTTGATTAGTGCTCGTAATTACGAAGCTTGGAGCGAGCTTCTGAACCCTTCTTCTCACATTTTTCTGTGTTTTGTAGGGTCACGAGTCTGCTTGTATCGTACGGCTCTTTGACCCCGTGAGGTCCCCAAGATGTTATGCTATCATTGCTTCCAAGCCTGACGAGACAACTTCCCCACGAGATGAAGACAAGCAGCATTCTCGGGGACTGTTTCTAGCGTAAAGTAGAGAAGGACGAAGTTCGAGTCCCCAAGTCTACCAGAGCTATGGTGACATGTCTTTAGGACTCATTATATTGGGATACCAAGTTCCATTCTTTAGGAGGTCAAACCATATAATGAACAGCCCGATTCCCGTGTCGTTAGCCGATGAAGTTAATGACAGGTTTTGGAAAGTCTAGTGACGCATGTTGCTTTCTTGATATATGTACAGCGGAACTTCAATTTAACAAACCTCTATATAACGAAGTCCTAGGTATAACGAAGGATACTTCAGCTTCAGCCCGGCTAAAGTTAGAGTAAAATGTATGCCACAAAACCTCGATATAGCGAACCAATTTCCCCAGTCCCTTGGCACTTCGTTAAATCGAGGTTCTACTGTATCAGACCTATTTGACCTTTGTCCAAATGGCCAAAGTACCACAGATATCATCATGAACAGTTTGAATTTATTTAAATCTTGTATTCAATATCAGTACATCTAACATTTACTCGACAAAGGGGTCAACAAGAAAAAATGATTGACGTTATTAACGAATCAAATACTATGATCATGGTCTATTAAAGAATAAGTGGGAATTAACAAACTTTTTGTAAAATCATTGCTTGAGCGAAATTCTTCAAAATCTACCAATAGAAAACGTTGACGATGAAAAAATTTAAACATGGAAATTTCATTAACGTTATTATTTTCGTTCATTGAGATTGAATGGTGCAATATTCATGATCAGTGAATTACAAATAGAGAACTACCCTCAAATTGAATCCGACGTAAAAGAAGACTTCGTATCAAACTCATAAAATACAATCTAAACCACGCTACCTAAAAAACAAAACAAAACAAAACCAAACGAAAAAAGAAACTAGACATAATAAATATAAACCTACCAAGTACGTCCTCTCTTAGTTAAACAACTTTCCTTTGACGGCAATTTTATCACAATAAACTATGATCATTATTTAGACCACATGGTTACACAGTGCAGGCAAATTCTTATGAGCCTCCTGAAATCGAAAGAATTTCAGCAAAACGACACCACTGAGAATAGCGTTAAATATCTGCCTTCACACGAATTGATTGTTTTTAAATATGACTAGCACTTATTCCCTTCAAAAGCAAACTCTCTCTTCGCACACTTACGGAAAGCATTCATCAGTTTTTCATAAGTATATCTTTTCTAAGCAAAGCTTCTAAGCTTTTTTCCGCGACAAAGCAAAAAGTTACCCATATGGACGTTATAACCCAACCAGCAGATCGATGTCAACTCAAATTTAATTAAGGTTAATCGCGTGTGGGAGTTCTATAAAAACTCAAACCATGCAATGATGATACTTGCATTTACTGTACGACTTGCTGCAAAAATCCTTTTTTTTAATTCAGGTGGACGAATTGCATTATCTTCCTAAGTTTCTAGTAGGAGAATCTGAGTACGTATAATGGAACCTCTGAATGCAAGGGAAATCAAAGAAGCTTTAGTAAAATGATTATAACATGGAGCGAAATCTCAAAATTTAAACATTCGTTCGTTATTAGTAAGAGAGCGAGTTCACAGAGTTCTAATTGTCCTTTAAAAAAAAAATTCCCTAAATAATCGACTAGTTATATGCTAGCGTCATAGCACTTTGGGTCAAATCAGAATTTCCGTTTTAGCTGGCAGACTCGCCGTTTGAATTATCCACAGTACTGCCAGAGTCCATGGCAGCCAAAATCTTGGAAACCTGTGCACGTTTGGCAGCTGTCATTTGTTGGGTAATGTGTACAATTGAGTCCATTGCCACTTCAGGATTTTCTTGTACAAGTCTACAGTGGATGAAATAGAAGCTCTTACCTACCAAGCATCAAAATCGTTTGTCCTCAAATAAGTGACATGATATAAACATCTGCTACAAATAGAAGGAAATGATCTCCAACTAAAGAAACTCTTCATTGTTACAACAATTCTCTTTGTCACTTCCATCAAGAAAAAAACGATCAAATGCAGAATTTGAAACCGCGGGAAAAACGATATTGATTACAATCTCTTGTGCTCTGATTTGTTACATAAGAAACAATGTCAGTGATCTCACTGGAATAGGAATAGATAGTTTATTCTGATTAAAATCGCAGCCAAAAGCTGAATTAGATTAATCGTTTTAAGAGGGTCGCTATATGGAACAAACGGAAAAATAATTCTCCGCATGGCGCGTTTCTGTAGCTGTTCTAACTCAACAGATAAGTATGCGGGAAGCGCGTTGTGAAACACCGGGCATGCGCATTCCATTTCTGGGCGGATACAGGTCATGTAAAAGATTAGCAGATCTTTGGCGGGAATATTCGCTCTCTTCAATTGTTTAAGAAAATATAATAGACTCGCTACTTTTTAACTTATTTCAGCAACATGACAGTTCCACCGAAGGTCGGAAGAAATGTTTAGCCCTAACAACTTAACAGTGGACACTACCTCTATTGCTTTCCCGTTGATAACAATTGGAGCAAAGTCCGCGGCTGATTTAGCGACTGGTGATTGGTGCAAAGACAACAAAGGGAAAGGAATGTTGTTCGAATGTGAGCAGCCGTTTGTGGGGAGGACG